AGTATTACGATAGTTGTTCAAGGTCCACTTATGAGTGAGAATATGTGATACTCAGTTCTTTGTTTCTATGAAAGATCACTCAGTATTATTGATTCTAATTCCACCCAGGTTGCTGAGAAGTTCATGATTTTGCTCTTCCTTATGGCTGTGTAATATTCCATTGTGTACATGTACCACATTTTTTTTATCCAGTCCTCTTTTGATGGGCAGCACTGTTGGTTCCATGTTCTTGCTATTGTGAACAATGCTGTGATAAGCATAGGTGTGCAGTATCTTTTTTATAGAGTGATTTGAGTTCTTTTGGGCATATTCCCAGTAGGGGTAATATGGGGTCATATGGAAGGTCAGTTTTTAGAACTTTCAGGAATCGCCACACTGTCTTTCATAGAGGCTATACTAGTTTGTACTAATTTTTTTAGTTACCGTAGATACGGATCTTGCCGAGTTGTCCGGCCTTGAACCCTTCAGGCAATTCTCTCGCCTCAGCCTCCTAAAGTACTGGGATTATAGACATGAGCCACTGTACTCAGCCTTGCAGCCTATAACTCTCGAGGTCAAGCGATCCTCCTACCTCAGCCTCTTGAGTAGCTGGGACTATAGTCACGCACCACCATGCCCAGCTAATTTTTCTATTTTTTGTAGAGACACGGTCTTGCTATGTTGCCCAGACTGGTCTCAAACTCCTGGCCTCAAGCGATCCTCCTGTCTCAGCCTCTCAAAAGTACTGAGCTTACAGGTGTGACCCACCGTGCCCAGCTATTTAATATCTTTAGCCACTAGGGAAATACAAATTAAAACCTCAATGCCCAGCCTGGGCAACATGGCGAGAACTTGTCTATACAAAAAAAAAATTTTTTTAATTAGCTGGGCATGGTGGCACACACAAATATTGCCAGGTATTCAGGAGGCTGAGGTGGAAGGATTGCCTGAGCCCAGGAGGTAGAGGCTCGAGGCTACAGTAAGCCATAATCATGCCACTGCACTCCAGCATGAGTGACAGTGAGACTCCCGACTCAAAAAACAAACAAACAAATCTCAATGAGCCACCGCTACCCAACTATAAGAATAGCTTAAATAAAAAACAGTAACACCATGAAGAGTTGACAAGAATGTGGAGCAACTAGAACTCTCATATATTACTGCTGGGAATGCAAAATGGTACAGCCACTCTAGGAAACAATTTGGCAACTTCTTATAGAGTTAAACATACACTTACCACATAACCCAGCGATCCACTTACCCTGGAGAAATGAAAACTCAAGTTCACACAAAAGCCTATACACAAATAGCTGCAGTAGCTCTATCTATGATCACCAAAAACTGGAAACAACCCAAATGACCCTTAATGGGTGACTGCATAAACAATGTGTTTATTTTGTGTTCCATACAATAGAACACAATTCCGCAATAAAAAGGAACCAATACTGATATACTCAATGACTTGGATGAATATCAAAGGCATAATATTGAATATAAAAAGGTGATTTCAAAAGGTACATACTATTTGATTCCATTTATGCGGCATTCTGAAAAGACAAAACCATAGTGGACAGAGAAGAGGTGAGCTGGGATGCCTGGGCTTGGAGTGGAGACAGGATATGACTGCAAAGAGGCAGCATGAGGGAGCTTTTTGGGATGATGATATTGTTCTGTTTCCTGATTGTGATGTTGGTTACATGGATCTTTATGTGTGAAAATTCATAGAACTGTACCAATAAAAAAGTCAATTTTTTAAAAAGTCAATACCAGAGCACTTGGAAAACAGAGAAGCAGAAGCAGGGAGGATTGTGTGCTTCAGATGTGTCTTTTGACAAGCACCTGGCTCTCTGGCCTGAGTATTTTCATCAAATATTTCTTTCCATATCTGTCCTCACAACTTCTGTGTACCCAGGAATAACAGATGTTTAATAAATGCTTTCTAAAGTTAGTTAAAAATGCAGCTCTTAACATTATTGAATACTTTAAAATAGTTATAATGGTAAATTTTATGTTAGGTTGTTTTCACCACAATTAAAAATTTTAAAAAGACATGGCTTTTGCCCTCCAAGAGTTCACTGTCAGTCAACTGAAGTCAGCACCAGCAATGCCAACAAGAAACTCCATTGTGGAGTCACAGAATGTGAATATCAAAGGCATGATAGTCACAGTGGCATCATCTACAGTCCTTTGGTTTTATTTGAACTATTTAAATTTTTGAGGAAGATATTTTTTCATAATATTTGTGTGACAAGACAGTAGTAATTAAAAGCCATACTTTAGGTTGGGTGTGTTGGCTCATTCCTGCAATCACAGCACTCTGGGAGGCCAAGATGGGAAGACTACTTGAGACCAGGAGTTCAAGAGCAGTCTTGGCAACATAGCAAGTCCTCTATCTCTACAAAAAGATTAAAAAATTAGCCGAAATGGTGGCATGCACCTGTAGTCTCAGCTACTTAGGAGGACTGCTTGAGGCCAGGAGATCAAGGCTGCAGCAAACTATGATCGTGTCACTGCACTCCAGCTTGGATGATAGAGCAAGACCCTGTCTCTTAAAAGAAAAAAAGGTCAAATTTTAATTTGAAGTAAAATACAACCGAAAGTTCAAGATAAGCTTGAAAAGAGAAAGACATGATTCTGGAGCATGAATTCTATTCTAATGGTATCATATGTCAATTTCAATTGTTTTCAGACCAACCATTTTACTCTAGTATGTCCTGCTCCCTCTTAAAAATGCTTAATTTCTGCAAAAAGTTGAAGGTTGCACAATTCCAGGACTCACATTAGAGGTCAGTTGTAAAAGCTACCATTTGTCAAAGGAACCTACCTAAGCTGTCAGTTTACTGAATAGTTTTTAAAAGTGAATACCAAAAGAGGAAGGAGGTGCTAAAAAGTGAGTCAAAAAGTGAGCAAGCAAATGTCATCCTTACTTTACTAACAATTTAAGTAATGTTCCAAAGGCAGACAACATCCAAGCTGCAGGCAAACATCCTCCACCTCACCTTCCACATAGTCCTCAGCGATATAGCTGTGCTCGTGCAGAATCTCCTCCATGCGGCTGAGAGTGATAGCTGCCAGGTGTCCAGGATACTTCAGCTGGAGAAGACGCTGAAGGTAGCCAGCTGCTTGGCTTCCTCCAAGATTGATGCGCTTGCAGTTTTTAGCATCTAATCTATAACCAAGTGCAGAAAACAGCACTGAAAGTTTTGGCAACATTGAGGACAGAAAATGGAGCATCATGGATCTGATTCTTACAGTAAGCCATTATGTGTGTGGTTACTTAAAGTGTTTGCATCAGTAGAAGAAGATGCAAACACCTAAAGTAACCACACACATACTAGCTTCCTGTGAGAATCAGATCCCTTTCACAGGAACCGAAGGGATAGCGGACCAGAGTAACTTTATTTTCCTAATGTGAGAAAGAAAAAAAAGCACAGTACTTGCTGTATGACACTGAAATGTCTCTGCTATGTCCTACCTCACCAGCAGATGCCAGCACAGAACAGGATACGATCCAATCTGAGACATCTCAGCCTTCAGGTAAAATAATTTTCTCTCAATACGTGAAAATAACATGCTTTTTTGTTTTGTCTTTTTTGAGTCAGTTTCACTCTGTTGCCCAGGCTATAGAGTGCAGTGGCACAATCATGGCTTATCATACCTCCTGGGCTTAGGCGATCCTCCTGCCTCAGCCTCCTAAGTAGCTGGGGCTATAGGCCCAGCCACCAGACCTGGCTAATTTTTTTTTTTTTTTTAATACTTTGATAGAGTTGAAATCTCACTATGTTGGCCAGGCTGGTCCTGAACTCCTGGGTTCAAGGAATCCTTCCACCTTGGCCTCCCAAAGTGCGGGAATTACAGGTATAAGCAACCGTGTCTGTCCCTTAACATGTTATTTTTAATTTCTGCATATTCTGCTTAAATAAAATAGAGAACTTCACATTTCAGGAGTGTTTGGTGATGTCTAAGAATTACTTTTTTCTTCAGAGATTGTCATAAAAACTTCAAGAGAAATTCCCATTACAAGTCTTAATAAATTCAATGGCATTTATTTTCACTTAAATATTGCTTTCAAGTTTACAAAGTGCCATTACCTACATTACCGTGTTTCATCCTCAGGCAACCCTGAGGAATCAGCTTTTCCCAATTTTACATGTTAGGAAACTAAGTGAAGAGGTCAAGTAACAGAGCTGCAAACTCAGGGATTTAGCTCCAAAGCCAGGGCCTGCAGGACACTCCTCTTTATGCAGTGGAGCACAGTGTTGGCCTAGTTTCTTACCAGACAGTGAAAGCTCACCTATAAAGTTAGAATGGATTTTTAAATACAAAAATTATTACATAAATTACCCTTGCCTGTTATTCAACTCTGAAATATTTAGTAAGTATCTATTATGTGCCAGGCACTATAGCTGAATAGTCTCAACAGTAGAGATTAAAGAGCTTTAAATTAAAAAGAAAAAATCTCTTGGCCAGGCACGGTGGTTCATGCCTGTAGTCCCAGCACTTTAGAAGGCCACAGCAGGACTGCTGGAGCCCAGGAGTTTGAGACCAGTGTAAACAACATAGTAAGACCTCGTCTCTACAAAAAATAAAAAAATTAGCTGGGCCTGGTGACGCACACCTGTAGTTTCAGTTACTCAGAAGGCTGAGGTAGAAGGATCACCTGAGCCCTGAGCCCAGGAAGTGGAGGCTGTGGTGAGTTGTGATCATGTCACCGCACTTCAGCCTGGGTGTGACAAAGTAAGACCCTGACAAAAAAAAAAAAGAGAGAGAGAGATTTCTTAGTAAAAAGTGACTTCCAAAACATAAAGAGGGTCTAAATTAAATATATTCAAATAATTTATTCAAGACATTTTAATTGAGTGCCTACTACCTGCAGATACTGTGCAAGCTATCTCCCCATAAATTAGAATTATAAAATCATAAAATTATGGTTTTGGACCTAAGAGACCATCCACCCCGGCTCCCTCCAAGAGATCATAAAGGACAGATGAAATAACTTGCCCACAGTTACACAAAAAGGGAGGTCAAAGCCAAGCCCACAGCTCAGTTCACAGGCTAGTACTTGCTCTTTCCACTCTGTCACTAAAGTAGGCACTAAATGTTTACAGAATGCTTCCCAAAATAGCACTCACATGCAACTCACCTCCCTTCTAAGATGGGTAAGATATGCGTACACTGGTATCCAGAGGAAACAATAAGCCCACTGGGCATCGAGTTCTTCGGCTTATTGTGGTAGAAACTGAAGAGGCTGTCTACTCCATAGGCGACCTTGGGAATCCCGTAGCACTCAAAAAGCAGCTCAGACATCATTTGCCGTGAATACAGTGGGTTGCACACAGCTTCTGTTAAAACTACGGGATGATCAACACAGCCCTACTTTCAAAGAAACAGGCAAATAGATAAGTGGTAACAGAATACTTTTTCTGAAGCACAAAAGAACCCACCATTCCTAATGCAGGGCTGAATTTGCTTCTGCTGTCTGAATTAAAAACCTCATCAAAAGCAACTGTACAACTTGCATCTCATTTCGTCTGGAAAGTATGTATGTAGAGTCAATTTAAGTGATTAAATTTAGTCCCATCCAAACTGTCAGCAAATTGTGTTGACTCTATCTTCAAAACTGATCCAGAATGCATCTGTTTCTTTCCACATTTCCTGCTACCTCCCTCATCTAATCACCACCACCTTTCATTTGGGCTACTGAGTTAGCAGACTCCTAACTAGTTTCCCTGTTTCCACCCCATATCCCATATAGCAGCCACAGTGATGAAAAGTCATGCCCTTCCTCTGCTCAATGCCCTACAATGGCTTCCCATTCCATGCATTTAAAGCCAATAAGGTGTGTGATTTACCCCCTCACTACCTCTCTGACATCCTCTTACAAGCAGTGCCTCTTCCAGGTGCTACTTACTCCAAGCCTCACTCTGGCTGCCCTGCAATCAGGATCAGGGCACACTCCTGCCTGGCCTTTTCACTGGTTGTTTACTCTGACTGGAATACTTTTCTCCTCAGATATCCACCTGGCTTGCTCCCTGAACCACCCCCTTCAAGTCCTTGCTCAAACATCACCTTCTCAATAAGTCCTGCTCTAACCATCTTGAAAAAAATGTAACGCCCGCCTCTCCTATCATTGCACAAAATCTACTACTTAATTCCACTGTTTACTGTCTGTCTTTTCACATAGAATGCCCTTCCATACTGGCTCCGTAAGCACAAGAAGTTGTGAGCTATGTTCATAGGTGTATTCAGAATGCCTAAAAGAGTGCCAGGCAGAGTAGGCGCTCAACACATATTTGCTAATAAATGAGTTTATTAACCAACATATATGCCCAAGTGTAAGAGAAAAGAAGAAGTGCTTGATTCGGTGCTGTGCCCCTAACACAGGGCATACACACGTTAGGCACTGAATACCTGACCGACTGAACGACTAAGGACAGTCAGAGCTGCTGCAGTGACTGTCTTCTCCCGGGGAGCGGAACGTGCGGAGACAAGACCCCACCCCTCTCTCGAGCCCAGCCCACCCCGCCCCTCACCTGTGAAGAGACACCCAGGTGTTGGAAGCTGTAGTCGAGCAGCAGCTCCTGCAGCTCCAGGTTGACCGGCACATTGCGGTCGAAGGGCGAGCGCAGCATCCAGCGCAGCGGCTCCAGGCTGCCCAGTGCGTT